GCACAAAGTGATTTTTGTTGATGTTTTGTATCATGCAAACATACATATTAGAAAACATAGTCCCGGACATGGAAGACAACAAAAGTTGATGCCAATAAGCTCTCCACTGTTTGTGTTCCATGATACATACATAAAAAAACACTCATCAAAACAGAGAAACAAAGTAAAACACAAGAAGAAGGGCTCTATGGCCTTTCACTGAGGAAGGAGAGAAGGAGGCAGCGAACCTCACAGTTCTGCCGAAGGAGGGAGAGCGTGAAGCGGCAAACCTCCATGTTTTTCCCTATCAAGGGGAGGGAAAGCAGCACAAAAGTAGATTAGGGTCACCAATATGTGTCATTCTTTCCGTTCAGTTCGAGACGAAGTATTTAAAACGGAAAAAAAAAATTGTTGTAAAATATAAAATTATTGTGTCCAGAGTCTGGACAACGGGCGCGATTCATCATCGTCGGTGAGAATTAAAAAAATAAAATTTCAATGTCACAATGTATCACGTCCATTGTTCAGTTGTAAGCAGCTTCCATACTCCATACGCAATAATTTCTCTATTAAAACTTAAGTATAGCTTGTAATGTCTCTGATGCAACTTGCTGGGCAATCGCGTGTTTTATAAAAAAATTTTATGTGCGGACTCCTGACATAGGTCTACGTGCAGCCGAAGTTATTTCTGAGTTATTTTCATGTTATTTATGGGTTATTTTTAATAATACCGAAATAACCCAATAATAAAAATCACGTGTTATTTCTAGATTATTGAAAATAACCCTGAAATAACTTGAAAATAACTCAGGAATAACCTACACCGCGCATAGAGCTATGTCAGAAGTCCGGACAGAAAATTCGCTCGTGTTTTATAGGGGATTTTGATTCTCTGTTTGAAATTGATTTTTTTTTAGTAAAATTTATATTTATATTTCTCAGTAGTTTTTCAAGAAATTAATTTTTCACCATAATTTTATAACTATTTTAAAAAAAAAAAAATTATTGCGACCTCAAATGTGTTAGAACCTTTTTATTATGCGTGACACCCAAAATGGAGTCATTTAAGTGATTAAAGTTCATATAAGCAGAAGCTAAAATCAAAGCCAAGGCAATGACATTAATTAATTGTGTTTCAAAATCGACTTTTTCAGATTCGTTTGGGGCAGCTGCAACTTATTGAATAATCTGTTGATAAGTTGATTAAAAATAATCTACTGATAAGCTAGGTGCGGTAGGTATTAAAAATTTTTTATTTTTTTGAAAAAGTCTGACCGCTATCGGAAAGCAGATATGTGCGGTGTGATGTGAAAACACTGTTTTCAGCGTTTTGAAAATGCATAAGTTACCAAAACACAGTTTACCCAAACAGGTCATGTGCATTTTCAAAACGCCACCACATCAAATAAACTGCCCCAAACGGAGCCTCAACCTTATTATTCTGTTGGCATATTTACATGCAAAAACATCAATTTTTTTTTTTCCTTTCTTTCTTTCATTATTAAATCTAATAAGCATTATTAAATATTTTTTGTTAGATTTTGAAAAATAAAATATATGAGTGCGTTAATATTATAAATAGTTAAATTTCAAATAATCTTTTTATTTTATTTATTTATTATCCACGTATAAATTATTAGTCTGTTCATCTTAATTTTTATGAATTTTTATTTTTTTCGGTTCTCTCAAAATAGAATTGACTCTTTCAACCACACTCGTTCTGAAAATAAAATAGAACGACATTATTTTGACATTTCAATGTTTATCATGAAAGAAAGAAAATATCAATGTTATAAGTTATTTAATGCTGGTCTTCTAACGCCAATGTAGACTCCAATCGTGCGTGGTTGGACTAGCAAAAAATACCTATAAAGTTTGAGTCCTATATATATATA